GAGAGAGAGAGAGAGAGAGAGAGAGAGAGAGAGAGAGAGAGAGAGAGAGAGACACGCCGGGGGGGAGGGGGAGGACGAGGAAGAGAGAGGGAGAGAGACAGATAGACAGATAGACGGAGGGAGAGACCCTCCCCCCACTCGACCCCGAGTCTGCCAACTCGAACATTACTATACGCCCTCCGCGATCCAAGAGGAGGAGAGCATCGAGACTACCGCCTTCCTCCTACGTTTTCTCGTCTCTCGCTCTATCTCTCTCGCCGCCTTTTTACTCCACCTACCTCTTTCTCGCGCGCTCTCGCTCCTATCTACCTCGTACGCCCGCTCCTAATCTCTCCTTCCTCTCCCTGCCGCCCTGCCCAGCTTTCTCTGCGCGCTTCTCTTCTGCCCCTATCTCCGCAACCCCCTCCCCTCCCCCCCCCTAGTGGCGGCGCCGTCGTTGCATTTCCGCTTTAACGTCGGGCTAACTCGAGGCGCCCGGCGCGCAAACGCCGCCGACAAACGCGTTTTCACTCCGCGCCGATGAAATGGCGGACGACAGAGCGTTCTCCACCCTGGAGGACCGCGTCCGAGACGTCCTCGCGGAGTCGCGCCGGGCTCTCGCCCGTTGGACATTTTCCAGCGACACCACCGGACCACCCAACACTTTTACCGGCGTAACCTGACATTTCAGCTGCCGCACGACCGGTTTATCGGGCACGCCGATTCAAATCATTGAACGGAAAATTTGCAGATTGACACAGAACATTTTTCCACTTTAGATCTTTGCTCTCACATGCGCAAAGCGACTTCTCGATCCTTACGAAGTTCGAACTGAGAACGCACGGCTTGGCTTGGACATGGAGGATCAAATTGGGCTCTTATTTCCCAAGGGATTGTTTCGAGCCCTTTATCTATAGGTCAAATTAGTAAAGAATAGAACAAAATGTTTTCAAAGATTCCTTAAGCAGTCATTCGGAAACAAAATGATGAGAATGCTAGAAAAGTATAGGGCGTTTAAGGGTGAAGTGAAACCTGAACGACTCCTCGCACGTAACGATTAAAGTGTAACTCCAACAGGAAATGCCGAGACACGGGGAATTGGTTTTTGTCGCGCAGATGGACACTTTCCTTGTCTTTCCTCTCTCGTTATCGTCAAAACGTTATTGCCGGTAGTTACGCGTCTCTCCGACCGCGGATTTCAATTATTGGTGCAATTGCGGACGATCGTAACGACTCCCGATTCCTGTCCCTCACAGTCCTGGGTCTAATTATCTAACGACACTAACCGCGTTCCTGCACGCAAACCGTTTGCAAATGTTATGGAAATAATCTCACGCTATTGACTACTCAGATTTCTCAAGTGCAAAAGCGGGATGTCATCAACGGATTCTAGAAAATATTCCCTCCTTTTTAAATAAATACCGCACGCTGACGAGCGTGTGCCATTTCACGACTGTTTTTTTGAATACGCAGGAGAGCAAAATTATAATTTCAAATTTAGTTATTACGCTTCATTTACCGAGTAATTTGCTAATGTAAAAGTTAATATGTAAACTTTCGCTTAACATAAACTTTTTAATTTTAAATAAACTACATTTCGCATAAAGAATTGTTGACACTCGCGTGCGTGTGCGATTGCAAATTTGTAGCTGGAAAATAGCCGGGCGCTTTAAAAATCGAACGTCCCCGCGGGGCATTTATCGTCTGAATTTTGTGTGTGCGTTTCTCTTCTCGCATGCATATAATTAAATACAAAATCGATGTAATTGAAAATGTGTCAGCGACTCGTCTCCGGGATCTCTCGAGGTCGTTGTTTACGCCGCGACGGACGTTGTTACCGCGCTCTCCCCGAATCCCGAATATTAATACTCGGGCGCATCGGCCTCTACCTGCCGCGCGCACATGACGGATATTTACGCGAATGCATTCGTAGAATTGCGCCGGCGGGCGAATTTAGCGGGACATCGGGGGAAGAAACATCGTTTCCACCGCACGTAAATGACTGGCATAATAACGGTAATACACGTCGGGGCATTATCTGCACGCGCTCGCATTTTTGCGGGCAGACAGGTTCCTCCGGTCTCCCGCGATTCCTCCGAGCGGCGGGCGGCGTGGCCGCGTCTCGCCGCAGCCACGCGATGACCCGCGCTTTTCGAGGCCGCGCTGCGCCAAGTATCGAGTCATCGCCGCGAGACGGAAGGCGATACTAATCTCGACGCGGTTATCGAATCCGATACGCAGGCCGGGGCGATTTCAATGAGATCTCATTGTGCGCCGAACGTTCGCGCCCGACGTGCGGCGCGCTCGCGGATCGCGCGGCCTGGCGTGATGCGCCGGCATCAAAGGTGTACTGTTACTCGCGGATGTGCAACGGGCCCGCCGCTATTAGTACGGTAATATCACGGAGAGAGAGAGGGCCCGACGTTATTGTCAGGTACATCGCGGGGAGATGCTTTTCAAGCGGAAGAATACGGCTTAACATTCCGATGGCGCGGGTAGGAACGCGAACGCACAATTTTTACGCCGTCCGCGGAGAGGCGCATTATGAATTATTCTCGCGATCCTCGCCGGACGAGTCGTCGGAGTCGCGCGAGAGTGCCGTCCTTTTAAAACGGAAACGCGTTTAAAGCTGGGCTGTAACGGCGCGTACCGGCCATCGCGCGCGTCGACGGAACCCCGGGTTTCTCGGTTTTCTATCGTCGCCCGCGAGATATCCGCACGACCGCGATTCAACCGCGTAATTACGATTCCGCGGTAATCGATGCACTTTCCCTCGTCAATCAGCGCGCCGCCGGCCGGCGATTTGTATTGAGATACAGCTTCAGCCGTCATTCCCCGTTTCGTCACGGCCACGCGGCACGTATTATATTTTTCTCTCTTTCCCCCCCCCCCCCCGTCGTAAACGATATCCCGCACGATATGGCGTAATTAGGCAAGTCGATCGAATTGCGTAACTTGCTTAATGATAGTGAAACCGCGATATCGCGTTTTATTGTTATCGTAATTTGTGTATAACGGCGACAATTGTATCGCTCGCATCTCCCGTTTCCCCACTTCGCGTGATTTAGTATCCGAAGCTTCAAAATTGAATCCTTTTTACAATGTTACATCGTCTGTTTGCGTCCTCCTGCACTTTAATCCGTGATTAACAGCGGTTGCTTTGCGCTAGCGCGCACTGAGTGCACAGCAAGGCTTGTTCGCAGTCAATTTTTATATTTAAGGATCGTCTTAAATATCTTTTGAAATATATTTCTTCGCCAGTACGGATCGTTGTAAAAATACGATATTTGTAAGTACAACTGCTTTCTATGCCGACGTGTGCGCTGCAGAAGACTGCTTACCTTCGATGGGTCCTGCTGTTGGACCAAACGTTCCCTAAGCAACTGCAGCTGCAGGATCATCTCGGAGAGCCGGCGCTCCTTCTCGACGAAAGTGTCGGCGCAGAGGATCCTTTGAAAGGCCGCCACACCGTCTTGATCTACGTGCGTCTCCGTGGTTGGTATCCTTCCGGCATCCGGAGGTGTGAGTACGACGTTATTCGCCACGGTGGTGGTTGTCGTGCTTCCACTGCAACTGCAACACATGCGATTCAATCTCGATCAGTCTCGTCCAAGAGAGATGAACGGCGGAGACAGAATAGAAAAGTACAATTGTACAACAGGTACGATAAATGCATAAGGAAACATATACGGATTCCAGAGAAAATAGATCTTGTATCTATATCCTATATTTTCGTACTCGTCAATTGAGCAATTACCAATTAGCATCGAGAAAACAATTCGCCAATACTTAAAGTTACCAACGGCAGATAGAAATCGGAAGGGAGAAAAACAAACTTGTGGTTTTAATTTTCCTAACGCGAAATAGAAGCCGATTCTTGCGTCTACGTCAATCATCGATAATAAATAGTCGTCCATTATCGGCAATCTTGATTAACAACTTTGTAACTGATTGTGAATAATAAATTATTACTGCACGCGTCAATTGAACGAGCGTTGCAATTTTTCTTTCCACGCGAAAAAGAGAAAGGAATAGATATCGGTCGGGAATATCCGTCGATGGCAAAGACGTTCCTGGAACGCCGGGTGAGAAGGAGAAAGATAGCCTCCAGCGCATTAGGTTGAAACCAGATGGTAGGTGGTCGCGTACGCGATGCTGGAAGCCAGGTGAATAATAAATGAGTCGCGGCCGCGCAATCACGACAGGGCGAGTGTTTGCGTCCGTGATGGGGTACCCCGGTGCCATCAATTCTCCCCCGGCCCTCGAGCACCCGCCCAGAACCGGCCTCGAGATTCTGCTCCTTTATGTCGGAGAAAATGGTCCGCGAATAAGTGATACAGGTCGCATTGTGCGACGCTTGGGAGACCACCGGTCGGACAAAGGCCTGCGCGAGCGAGAAAGACGAGGGTGACGATGTTGACAATGAGGAAGCTTACGCTGCGAAAAATATAGGCCAGCATCGTCCGCCGCCGCTTCTTCGTAACACGTTACAGGGTCAACGATTAAAGTTACATTACGGTGTACGCGAATGACATGCGGCACAAGCGCTTAAACCGCCCCGAGTACGTCAAGTCACGCGCGTACGTAGCTTTTCCTCTGGTTTGTACAACAGGCAACCGTCGTTTATCTCATATTTTCAGATTTTCAACGTCAGCTTGACTGTCTCAATTGTTCCAGAGCAGTAGATACGCTCTGGTTAAAAGTCAGAGTGTTCTAATATCATGTCATTTTATACGCCTTCTTCGATACGAGAGAACGAACCGTGCCGCGTATTTTAGGGCGGAAAAATGTATAAGATACAAAATAAAATATTTTTCTACTCGCGCACAGCTTCGGACTCGCGAAATATAAATCACGGATTCGCAGTCTATTTAACTTCGCTGCTAAAGTTAAACGGACTATGATATTTGAATATTTCCCGAGTGTCTAAGTCTATCTTGTTCAGTCGGCAGCCAGCGAAAGTGTGCATCCGGTATCGCGAAAGGCCTTAATTTCGCGCGAACTTTCTTTAGCGTGATAATGATGGCGTGGGCTCGGCGACAGATTTCGTTCGCGCTCAACGGTTTTAAAAATAAGAAGCACTGCCTCCTGTTATTATTATCGCGCGCTAAGATATTCGAAGGGTTTAATTTCATGTGCGAGCCAAGATAAATGGTCGCCTCGTCTCTTTTGTGCTACTCTCTGCGTACACAACTCGCTCTTGTCTACGCGGGCCAACGGACGAGAGAACGTATGATAAATTGATGGCATATGGATCGTAGATGAAATCAATGAGAATAAAGGGATCTTTTCGCATTTTTTCTTTTTCATCATCATCAGAGACTCGCGCGCAGGATCGTCGTGGAAGACCCCTTGTATTTATAGTGTAGCGTTTCATCAAAACTACAGCTGATATTTAAATAGTTTTGTTAATTAGACGTCAGTTAATTAAGTGTAACGATCGATGTCATCAATTTGTTACTAACCCATTATCTTGAAATATAAAAACTGCCAAGCTGTTTACGCGTCTATCAATCGTTTATCTCTGGCTTCTACCGCGAGATAGAAGCGTCTATGACTTGGCGAACTGTCGGGTAAAATTAGCAAATTTAATAACGCAACTGCCATATCTCTAAATTCGTATTTGTTAAAAGGATTATCCCATATTTTTGTGACTCAAGTCGACCATTTGAATAGCGTTACGCTATTTTAGCTGACCGTCGACAAAAATTTTTGCTGACGTCGTTAATCCCTGCGGCATCAGAAATATCATTTTTACGTATCGGAGTTATCGCCGGTCCATAATGCAGCGGTTATTCCACGAGTTTTTATCCAATACCCACTATATTTAGAATAGTCGAGAGCTAATGTATATGCCCGATATTTTCGTCCATCCTATAACTCTACTCGCTAGTCACTCGCATCTCCGAATACCCGTGCGCGCTCATAATACGATTCGCGCGCGATACGTCAGTAGTGCATATATGATGCACGGATCCGAGACGTTTTATGTAACAATGTTGTTACAGTCGTTTGTACGTCCTGCGGGATGTCCATGTGCGAATTTGCACAAATTCGAAGTAGCTCGGAGCCGCGCCGAGTCTTCTAATCCTTGAGAAACATCGGAATTACTTCCGCGAACGAATTGAATTGTTAATCTTGTCGATAAGAATAAATTGGTAGAATTATCCTGGCCGTGAATTTAAGCACGTACGCGCTCGCTAGTAAATGTTATTCCGATGCTGCACCGTGATAACGATTTGGTGAGTATTGGCCGCGTATATTTTTAAATCGAATCCATGCTATTTCGATGTACGCGAAGTCAAATTGAACGTGCTCCAAAAAGAAGGTGTACGTCAACGTAAGTGCACGTTGTACTGTTGGCTGAATTTTTGAAGAATCTTGGCCAGCCGTCCGTTCGATGTGGGCAGCAGACTGGCACAGTTCTGCGCTACCGCTTCTCCGCGCTGCCAAGTTCACTCGTTTACTTTCAATGACTCCACGTCAATGTAGAGACATTGCGTTACACATCTAGCTCGAGGGATGAGACTTTTTGCAGAGATTTCTGCTATTCTATTGTTGCCCGCACGCCGTATAATTTTGCCAGGTGCTATTTCGCGCGAGTCCGTTGTTGTCGTAACGGCGGACTGGACATGCGACTCGCTGTACTTTTTGTGTCAATAATAACGAGTTTTATGATTGGAAAAAGATAAGACAGAGACCAGACAGAGGAAATTCATAACAATTTGATCACGATTGTGCCACGTTTGCATAAACGCTTCGTCAGCAATTCCTAACTTTAATATCACTCGATCAACATGATGCGCGTCATAGTGTACTGCGGAATAATAACATGGAAACGCTAAAGTGTAATTTTATGGTATTATAATAGCGCTATCGTACCATCTTATATGACGCAAAATCGTAATTAGTCACGTGTAAACCTAGTTTATACTCGATATTCTCGCCTTTGTGTGAACAATTTACAGAATGGAGAAAAAAATTATGCAAACACGAATGAATTCATTTCAGAGCTGATTATCTAGAGCGATTATTATTGACGCACAATAATCGTTTCAAAAAGTATATATCAGTTATGTAAATATCGCTGTCCCACGGATTATCTCACGGAAATGTATCATACACGAAATTGAAAATCGCAAGTTGTTATATTGTTGCAGAATTACAACAAAAACTAAGCCTCTATCAAGGGAGGGTGTGCTAACCGATCAACAATTAGTACGGATTATAATTATGGGAATGGACATAGTTCAGTAAAATAACAGAATGCCTTTCCGCGCGAGCGCAACTCAAGCAGAGGCATAATTATTAAGAATGTGAGTATAAATTAGTGCTTATCTACTCAAGTTTGGATAATCTTTCAGCAGCTATGTTACAAGATTAGATTATATTGTAGATTGATGCATTACAGAAAGCTGTAACACAATAAAATTCTCAATTAACTTAAAAGCATTTCAGAGTATGTTACATCGAAATTGAAAGTAAATTTTGGAAATCTCTCATTTTGCAATAATTGTTTCGAGTTATCTTTTGTGCTATACTTTCCGTTCTTGGGTTACTGCTCATTGTCAACTGACTGTACGGTAATAGAGATTCGTTTCAAGAGACCGCTAGGTTGGCCTTATGGTTTCGGGACAATAGTCTCTTTTAGGCCCCGCCCGATCGTTAGTTGCGTGTTACTATATCCGAGATACCGGGCCTTGAGAATGTTGAGGCAAGAAACGACACAGTGGTCTTTTCTTTCAGAAAACAAAATTATAGCTGCCGCCTTAATTTCCGGCGATAACATCGGATGATGGAGAACGTGAAATATCACATCGTAAGCTGCGCTCGAAGAATATCGATAACGTTACGAGCTAAATTCTAAAGTTCCCCTTCCTAAGAATTCCATTTGAGCACCCGGCTTTCATGGGAAAAAAGCTTTTTTATAAAACCTAAATTTATTTAACTAAAACTACATTGAAGTTGCCCAAATAAAACTTGCTACGTTTCGAAACGCTGCAAGCACTACAAGCTCTATAAGCGGAAAATGTTATTGTCATTATGTGCAATAACTATATCATGTTAATTTGTCTGGCATTGATAAACAACAATTCATAATTGCGTTCGCCTATTAACTCCTCGTTATACAATCAAGTTTAAATTCAAATACGTATTTGTATACGCTTCGATTACAGTCGGCGTTAAATTGCGAAAGCAAAAATTACAGGCATTCGTAATAAAGTTGCAAAAAGCCACATCCGCCTCTGATTTACCATTATATTATATTAATCAGTTATGTAAAGTGGGAGAGATACGATAACCTCGGCGACACGGTGGCGCATTATGAGGCAGATATTGCAACAGAGTAGTGCACTGTTACAATGTCGATCGAACACGGTATCGAATAATTAACATACACAAGTTGCGTAAGAATCGCCTATCGAGATACGTTGCACGGATTACACGAATCGTAACGTAGTCTAAATAATCCGGAAAATTGGAAGGAGTTCTCAAACGGCACGCTGCTCTTATTTCCTGTTATTTGCAGGATATTTCCTGACCGAGTCAATGGCAATCAGATCGATATTAAACGGAGGAGGGTTCAAAATGACAATTATAAAGGCCGGGCGTGAAGAACACCGAAACTTCAAAAGTAGCTGCGATCTTGCCTTTCGTACTCAATGGAATAAAAATGAATGTGAAAACATCAAATGATATTTCTACGTAAACTTGATTCAATCATAACAGCGTACCACAGTAATGCAAATGCAAATCACCCTGGGAGTTGTGGGAGGTAGAAGTCCAAGAATGCGAATTGATCAACAACAGTAGTTAAATGACGTATAACACAATCGTGTGTAATAATCACAAAATCGCACAGATCAACTAGCAAGTTTTATAAAACACTCATGATTCGGTATTAATTGAATAATATCGTACCGTAATACAATGACGAGACACACAAGTAAGTCGACTAGCAAACAGTAGACAACGTATTGAGATCGTTTCCCGAGAATGGCATTGGCATTCCTCAGATACACGTTTATAAACAGTGCCTAATATTGTAAGTCTATGTAAGTCAAATATCTAGGTATCGTTAAATTTATGCTTCAAATTTGGATATCATTCATTCACTAGGCGTACACAACTTTGTTATAAATCTTCAACAACGAGGATATCTTTTTGACAAGCGCTAGATTTTAATAAAATAGAAAATTATTAACAAATACGTGAATTATTCGCGTTTACTTTTCAAAATATGATGAAAGAGCTAGAAATGCGCGAAGTTTGAATACGACTCGAATTAATTTGAACTTGTTAATTTGAATTTTTATAATTTAAATTTTAACTATTAAAATTTTTCAAGTCTAAATGATTGAAATATGAATCATATATATTATCAATCTTATAAAATCATACTTCCCGTTAATCAACAAAATAGTACATGTTAATAGTACACCCAGTAGGTGCATTCAGTGCAACAACCGCTCACTGAGCGATCAAGTAACTAGAATGTGATCAGTTTTTACTTTTGGATTCAAACCAAAGAGTATTATTGATAATAAAATAACGAAATATAGATATTATTTTACTTCAATTACTACGTGTATAATCGGATACTACATTAGAGCAATTTAATAATTTATCTATGATTTTTCGCCTGATTGTTTCAGTTACAACGGCATTATAATAAGGTATATTTTATTAATTTTATATTAAGTATTTAAATATTTACCTTAAAATAAATTGATATTATCAATCAATATTATTTTTCCACATCAAAATATTCTCATTATCTACGAGTTAAAATTCTGTAATAATAATTATATTGTTAATTAAAAATTATATTTCAACAATTCAATTCGCTTCGATTCGAATGAAACTGTGTCGATTCAGTTTGATTCGGGAAAAGAAATAAAATTCGATTAGATTGAACATGAAAAAATCCTTGACTCGCACACGTCTAAGAAGAGCTATCGAATCTACTTTCTTCCTCCGTTTATCATTTGATGATCAGACAATGAAGTCTTTTTAGATTGTCTCATTCAGACAATATAAAATAGAAAGAAATAAAGTTTCGGCCGTCCTAGTCCTTTAGCTCAATATTTGATATCACCTGGACTAACCTATGTGCATTGTGACCGGTTGGCGTGGAAGAGAGAGGCGGCGACGTCCGCCTGGTATTGGTAGTATCATCCTGGATAGACAGGGATTCGCTGTTCATCTTGCACGTTAGTCTTTTGAGAACGTCGTCCATGGATCTTTTACTGCCTGCAGTGGTGGTACCACTGCCGTTATTGTTGTTGTTATTGTTGTTGTTCTGCGTGACGGTATTGTTGTTATTGTTGTGATGGGGATGAGGGTAATAGGGGTCAACGGAGAGGAGGGTGGGTGGCGAGCCGCACTCCGAGGAGCTCGCCGGTTCCAGTGCACCGCCCGACGACGACGACGTGTTCGTATGGTGATGATGATGATGGTGATGGTGGTGATGGTGATGATGAGGGTGGTACGGTGCGATGGTCTCTTGGCTCGACAGGAACAGCAGCCTCTGTCGCTTGGCCGTCCGCAAGGAATTCAACGAGGGCGACGGCGAGTCGCGTAGATCCGGCTCGCTTGTAGTCGCCGGCGACGAACAGCCGGACGACTCGCACTCGCCGCCTCTCTGATGGGAATAGCACTCCTCGATGTCGACGGGGGTGGCGGCACCCTCCTCACCGACGACGGCTGCCTCGCCACCGGAACCGGCCACCGGCGAGGTAGTGTCCTCCTCCTCTTCGTTGGCGCCTGCCACTGTACCCGTACCGCCCCCGCCCTCCGATAGCTTCGTTGGTGGCGACTTCCTCTTTGAGGACATCCTCAGTCTGCAACACAAGCGTAACGGGGGACTGCTGAGTATTTTTTGGTCTTTTTGCTTTCTCTTTTTTTTTTCTTGCGTCGGCGTACTCAATTGGGATGTGTATCATGGAGGAAGAGCGGGGGAGGAAATCTTCTCTATGTGCTTGATGATACGGCTCGCATTTTTTTTTTCTTATCGCATCGTAAAATGATCATCTAAAATGTCGCAGAGCTCATTTATGTTATGTTGATTACTGCGGTTTATCCAGTTTCTTGGCAGCACGAAAGACTGGTAGAGGGTTCAATTTCAGCATCCTCAGGTGGAGGACTGTACGAGCGAGCGACGAAACGACGTCGCTCCTTACGTCACCCAGTCGCCCCCGGCAGGCGCGACGTCTAAACTATCTGCCATCTGGCGCGGAGTTAATTTAGACACGGACTAGCCCAAGTTCGTCCATTCATTTCCGTCTACAAATTACCAAATCTAAATCCAAATCGCGCGATCGATCGGCCGTCTGCTGGCTCGGCGGCAACGATGTCGTCGCCGATATCGGTGCGCGGACAAGTGGACGAACGTAAGTTACGTAACTGGACGCGAGGCGCGCAATTATCGGGCGGGAATTATATTGTTGCGCGGGTGCGTCGCAACGATCTCTCCATTAATCGAACGAGATCCCATTAGTCGGCTGACCGAGTACGCGGCGAAGACGAGAAAAATAAAGAAGAAGAGAGAACTACATTAGCCACGATTATCTTCCGCTGGCGAACGCGAGGTTGCGAGGTCAGGAACAAGCACGACTCGCGGTTTCGTTGATCGGCACATCCCGATGAAAAGCGAGACGAGCCTTAACCGCATTTCCGGTGACACACGCAGGCTTCGACGTTTCTCGTCTCCGAAAGTAATCTGCTGCTCGATGGAACAAGTCGATAATAACAAATTAATAAAATTAATTAACCGACTCTAATTACACGGCCTTCGAATTGATAAATAATTTGTAGCCGCTCGTTTCAACTAACGTTTTAATTTTCGATTCAACGCGGTGCACGTTGCGTCAAGCGAGCAAAAGAATGTGCATTAGTTTGCGAAAGAAAAATCGAGCATTTTATCCAATAGTGTGTCAATGATTTCCCTCATTAACACGCTTGACCTACATTTTTGAGCTGCACTATTGATATATAGAGGTAAGGCCCATTTTATATATATATATATGTCAGAGATAATGACTTTTAGACGTAAACGACTTTTCAACTGGAGGATGCGCGTTTTACATGTCCCTTTGCGTTCAAAATCGTCCTCTGCAATGTGTATAATTACAGCGGGAGATTTATTACTGCGCGTTACGCAGACATTTGTTAGTCACATAATGGAGAACGATTTACGGTGCTGAGAGAATGCCGCGCGCATATCTTCTCGGAACACGAGAGCGATGTATCATAAAGTTATGAAATATATAATGACATCGGCTGTCATCGGCCATTTCGCTTTGGGCCCCGCTAACTGTATCGCGGGGATAAAGATAATATTTATATAATGCATCATTCGAGATGTATGCAATTCTCCCCCAAGATATATGTAAATTGACCGATCAATTAATTCTTCAAGAGGCAGATTAAATACAGACTGCATCTGTGATTGTGCTGAATTAAAATGATTTAGAATTAAAAAAAACTCAGACGTCTTCAACAAAGGTATCTGAAAATGTATCCTTGGTTAATAATATTATTGAGAAGGAAGGTTTTTAACGGAATTGTTCCGAATCGCTGGCACAAAGACGGAGCTGGCTTTCGTTTCCGCGAGTCAATTTACGACAAAGATAATATTTGCGAAGATAAAGATAATATTTGTATGCGAGATGTGTTGCGTAAAGGCACCGGGGATCTGCGTGATCTTCTACCGCGATATAGATCGATCGATCGAATCTCTGCGTTTTGCTAATCTTAATATTCTTAATTAGCAACGCGATCAGTTGTATCCTCCTCAAAAACTTTGTCGTATAAAAACTCTTACGCTTTATCGGATAGATTTTGAAGGGAAAGAGACACATGTGAGAGCCAATCATCTTAGGTCGCGTGCGAAGCCGCGGGGCAGTGTAATATAATAATAAAAGTATATGAGTTATCTAGTACGAAAATAACAAATTTTTCTTCAAGAAACAACTTTTTTCGTAACTAAGTTTGGGAAATTTCCTCACATTCGAATCTCGTCATGAGATCGAATGATCGCGAAATCTTCGTGAGCGCTGCGAGTGGATCGGGGGGTGAGAAAGGACGTGCAACGTGGCGAGAATGACTACGATTCTGTTTCTTAAAATGAGTTGAATGTTTAATCGTATGTACACTATATACAGTTGAGAGTTACTTAGTGATTTGAGGTAAGCGAGTCCGTCGAGCTCTCTTGTTCGCACAAGACCGTCGGGGATGTGCCGCCCGTTGAGCCGGTGGCCGGCTACAAGCGAACGTGCACGTACAAAGTGAGAGGCCTTTGCGCAGAACGCCGATGCACTCGATTTGTGCACTTAACTTATGAGTCTGTCCCTGGGTGAGCACTAATTGTCAATGTGAGCTAACAAGCACTGAGATAGCACTTGTTCCCGTGAGCGCGAGCACGATACGTTTCGTTGTCACGCGTCGAGTGATCGCACCCCAAGAAGCGCGTTATCAAGAAGGTCAGGATTATAGCATCGGCATCTCTGGTTGTGCTCTCGATACGCATTAATGCCGCCAGCCTATTATGTGAGTCGCACGCGAAGAAAAAAAGGCATCGCCCGGACAGTGGGGGCGCCGATAATGTGGGAATGGACAAGTATTGCGTTGTGCGCTCGCTCATTGCAATTTGTGACAATGATGAACATTGTCTGCGCTGCACGCCCCCGGCGCACTTTTTGCAAGAGCGGGCTCGCGCGATATGCGCCCACGGGGCAGCAATGCACGCACTTGACGCGCATGCACACGTGCACTCGCGCGAATCGCGAGTCGCGGCGGATCGCGGGGTTCGCCGAAGACCACGTGCTCCGTTTACTACGAGTGCATGTGTCGCGAACGACCGCTACGATTACGAGCGCGAGGCATCGGCGAACGCCGCGGTTCGTCAGACTTTCCGCGCAATGCGCGCCCCGATTGTGATCGAGAGAACCCAAGAGGTTGCTCAAAATCATTTAGACCACGTCTGAAACAAGTGTACACCTATTGCCGAAAACGATAATAAATTTCTACAGCAATTATCTTTGTGTTCTACATTGTAGATCGGTACTTATTTCATTTAGAAGACCCGCCTAGTGAGAGGGAGGTCCAGGTTCAAACCTGGCTGAGGTAAATTTTTCGCGATAAATTTAAAAATTAAAAATCATTTAGACACTTGCATCCTGTCTTGGCTCCTACATCCTTTGTTACTTCGTCATTTCACGTCAGAGAGCCTGACAAATTTTATTTATAAATTTTTTGTTAAGCAAAACTTGTTTCCTAATGTTGCCTAAGGTATTCCCTTGTCAATGCCGTTTGTTGCCTAAAATTTGTGCATCTACCGCGGTAGATCCCTTGAAAGAAACTAATCGCTTCACCATCGATCGGGAATTACTTGGAGTAGAGCGGAGCTGTTTCGCTCAGTTGAAGAAAAACATTAGATAAAAAATTTTCAAGACCAGGTGAGACTTTTGAATTTTTGAAAACAGCGAAGGGACTCTTTGATTTTTGTCTCGAAAACTTTTAACTGAGAGAAATCGCTCTACCCTGCTGCATATGACCCTGCGTGACGCGATAACGGCGGGAAAGCCCCTTCTCTGTAGCGTATCCGAGTTTTACGAAGAATTCCACATTGATTTATTCTCAGGAATGTTTAGATAAATCGATAGAAGACGTATTGAATTATTGACTTATATATGCGTGCCATTACGATAAAAGGAGCTGAAAGCTGAGGCTCCTTTAACCAGACATAAGAGAAAATGTCGAATGCTTTGTGAAAAAAATCCTATACCCACTGGTACGATAAGAACTTGAATAAAGACGAGAGAAAACCGGACCGCACTTCCGAATTTATCATTAGCGATCTTCCTAAAATTGAATTTAAGCTTGGCGGACTCGCTAAGAATAAGTGGCCCGACATGTATATTTAGCGAAGATATGTTGACGGCATAACTACGCACGCTAGATAATAATCTCGGTAAGTCACGATTGTCAGTCGTGGCAGCAATCAGTCAGTGTGCGAGCGTTGGGCGATCGGGCGCGAGGAAGTCTCTCCGAGACCGTTGCTCTCCCTTCGGCGCCCCCGGCGCCTCGCTCCCCTCGGGCGATCCACCGAGTTGATCGCGTCGCTTTTCTATTTCTATTGTCTACGTCTCCCGACATTGTACGCGTATACGTGTACATGCACGCGCGACTGTCGTCACGCGGCTCTTCGTTGGTGCGGCGTACTTTACCGCGCTCTCGGTACACAAAGTATTTCTGTCCCTAGACTTCCCGCCCGGCATAATTACTTCGCGAAGCACAGATTCGCAACTATAGCCCCGACTGCCGAGGAGACCGAACAAAAAGCGCGCGCGCCTGCGGCACGTCCGCGGAAGAAATATTTTTAACCGCCCAGATGCCATCGTGTCCGGCCGACTGAAATCACAGACGAGGATAGCGAGAGATCATCAACGTCGGTGACAGTGCAAGAACGCACGGGTGGTTGGCCCCCTCTTTTCGCGGCTGCTATCGTGTCGGATTGAATAAGCAAAAAGGGGAAAAATGATTTCGCACCGTCGAAAATACAGACGAATTCGAGGCGAGATCGTCATCTCGAGATTTGTAATAAACGGCCGGGGGAAAAATTGTCGTTTACACGTTTGTACGCACATTCGCACGCAAGAACTCGCGTATTACGTTCGATAAGCGGTCGACAATCTCGACCGTCGATTGAATGTTAAGCTCGCGTTGATTGCGGATAACGAGATAAATCTTTTTCTTGCCGTTTTAAGTACTCTCTCGCACCCACGCAATATCCATTCATTCATTCGCTGATTCATTAAGTTCGTAAGATGAGTA